ATGTTTATCTCGTTACAATAGTATCCCCAATTCCCTTGGAGGCTTTTACTCTTTCCGGTGATGTATAATTAAATCATTTTTTATTTTGAGAATATATACCAAACTTTTATAAAGTTGTTATTGAAAATTTGAAATATAAAGATGTGCTTGTTCTTTTTCTTTCAGGAATCTGAAGTTTCTGCTGTTAAGTATATCTCCATTGAGGAGTATAAGCAGGCCCTTGCTAAAGAAGATCTTAGGTATGTTCCGTACAGTCTAGAGGGGCAATATGGTCAACTTTTTGACATAATTATGAAAAGGTACCATTGCAATGTGGAAGCACCGAGTTTGGATTTTCAAAAGAAGCTCAATCGTTATGCTCCTATCTCACTTACTTCAGAGGTTTCATAATTGTATTCTCACTTTAGCATCAACTTTACTACAATATGAACTATTTTTTTTTTAAATATGCATCTTTATTCTTTTTCCACAGTTGACCGGTTTGACCAAGGATGAAAAGGAAGCATTAGTGTTACTCATTCATGCTGCAAGAATGATGAATGATATTTTCCACCAACAGGTTTTGTTTAACAATCCATCTCTAAGAGAATGGTTAAAGGGGAATGCTCATAAGTCTCATTTTGAAAAATTGAAATGGAGTTATTATTCAATAAACAAAAGCCCATGGTAAGACCCTATTCTGCAAATACCTTACAAGACCACTCATCATATCTTTGGTATTTGTGTAAATTAAGGTTGTTTGGTTTTGTAGGTCTTGCCTTGATGAAAATGAAGCATTTTTGACGACTGTAGACTCTGCAATCAAATTACTTTCAGAATCAACAAAGTCGATTTTAGGTTGGAATGGAATTGAATACAAGGCTGCCTTTCCCATGAAGAAACCATATGGTTCTAATTTCTAACCCTCAGACATGGATAAAATGGTAAAGTTTTTTATTTTTACAAGTGGCAAAATTGTAGATTATTTCTTGTTGACTCAGGTGAGACAAAAATACAAATTTTCCCCAACAAGAAGGTGTGAAAAAGGTGATAAATTTCATTTCTCCAATTGCAGGTGACCATGCTACAAGGATATTTAACCCTAGAGATGTAACATCAAACTACAAAATAAAACAGGTAATAAAAAATCATTTCCCCTTTTATTTAAAAAAAATCGTTATAAATCTATAGTTATTCACATTACTAATCACATGTTATTAGTAATGTGAATCGTTATGGTACTGTGTATTATTCATCACATGTTATTCATATGTTATTCGCATATGAATCACATGTAATTCATATATGAATTAGATTTGATTCACATGTAATTTACATATGAATTACATGTGATTCACATGTAAATCACATATGAATTACATGTGATTCACATGTAAATCACATATGTATTATATGTGATTCACATGTAAATCACATATCAATTACATGTGATTCACATGTAAATCACAAGTGAATCACATATGAATTACGTCTATATACACATATGAATTTTATGTAAGTGTTGTTCTTTAATGAAGCATTCTTGCCAAAGAGTTGATGAAGCATTCGTTAAATTTTATTTTTCTAATTGCAGGTGACCATGCTACAAGGATATTTAACCCTAGAGCTGTAACATCAGGCTACAAAACAAAACAGGTAATAAAAAATCATTTCCCCTTTTATTTAAAAAAAAAATCGTTATGAATCTATAGTTATTCACATTACTAATCACATGTTATTAGTATTGTGAATCGTTATGGCTCTATGTATTGTTAATCACATGTTATTCACATATGAATCACATGTAATTCACATATAAATTACATGCGATTCACATGTAAATCATATATGTGTTATATGTGATTCACATGTAAATAACATGTAATTTACATATTAATCACATGTAATTCACATATAAATCACAAGTGAATCACATATCAATTACATGTGATTCAGATGTAAATCACAAGTGAATTACATGTGATTTAATGAAGTATTCGTTAAATTTCATTTTTCCAATTGCAGGTGACCATGATGCAAGGATATTTAACCATGGAGCTGTAACATTAGGCTACAAAACACAACATGTAATAAAAAAATCATTTCCCCTTTTATTTTAAAAAACAATCGTTATCAATCTAAAGTTATTCACATTACTAATCACATGTTATTAGTAATGTGAATCGTGATGATACTGTGTATTATTAATCACATGGTATTCACATATGAATCACATGTAATTCATATATTAATTAGATTTGATTCACATAATTTACATATGAATTATATGTGATTCACATGTAAATCACAAATGAATTACATATGATTCACATGTAAATCACATATATGTTATACGTGATTCACATGTAAATTACATGTAATTCACATATTAATCGCAAGTGAATCACATATCAATTACATGTGATATGTAAATCACAAGTGAATCACATATGACTTACGTCTATATGCACACATGCATTTTGTGTAAGTGTTCTTCATTAATTATTTTTTTTAATTTTCTTGTGAATTTAATAGTTAAATCTTAAAAGATAGAATCACATGTTAATATCACATTATATAATAACATGTGAATCTTACATGATATATACATGTGAATCTTTGTATTTTTTTTATATTTTATTTTGTATCGAATAAAATAATTGTATTATGTTTATAAATTGATTAATAAAAATGAGATTTTTTATAATTTACATATGAGTATTATAGTATAACAAATATGCATATATGCATTTGAAAAAATATGCATATACACCTAAAACGTTGATTTTTTATTAAAAAAATGCAGTTTTAAAAAAAATGCATTTTTTTATAAAAATCGTAGGTTTTTTTTCTATAAAAGATGCAATTTTTTCTAGAAAAAATGCAGTTTTTTTGAAAAAAAAAATGCAGTTTTTAAAAAAAATATTTTTTTTTTCATTTTTTAAAAAAATTCATGTTTTTTGAAAACAATAAAAAAAATCTCAAATTTTTAAAAAAATCAAAAATTATTATTATTTTTTTTAAAATAATCTGAAATTTTTAGTTATTTTGTTAATTTTTAGACATTTATGTTAATATATTAAATAACACAAAAAAATTACACATTAAATGAGATTGGTAAGATGATGATCATATCCTTAATGAATTACTTTTGATCCTACACTCCACTTTTAGTTCTCGGGTTCTTAAGAAACTTTGAGTTCTCAACCGATTTCAACCATATATATATATATATATATATATATATATATATATATATATATATATATATATATATATATATATATATATATATATAAGATAACCATCTTTATAAATAGTGAACCTGTGTACTTTTTGGCAAGAATAGCCCATGGATGTGCTTTTCCATTTTGTTTTTGTACATGTGCATTTTATGGAAATATTTACATTCTTTTATACACGTGTTGATCATCATTTGGGTTTATCCGCTTCCGGATCCTTCCCACCGCGCCCTTATCCTATATCTTCCGATTCCAGCTCCATCCCCTATCCCCTTTGATTTCTTCGAAATTTCAGATGAGCATCAGACACCTTACCTCCATGGTAACCGCCCCATCACTGTTCCCTCGCCCAATCAGATACGCTTGCTTCCACCACTTTCTATTTGTTTCAGTCTTTTGGAGACGATCAGTCTCCAGTTCCACCGCCTTTCACCGATTGTGTTCCCCTCCTCTTCTCCTCTCTCTCTCTCTCTCTCTCACCCTAAATTCGGATGGTGACCCATTTTCTCCTATATCCACCATCACCTGCTTTTGCTAATATCCAACTCCGACCTCTCATAAACGCAAATGGCAAAGATCTGTGTTCTTCAGCCACGAGATGCACCGACTCAAAGTTCCAATAGCATTGCTCCAGATACCCACCGCCTTCCTCTTACGGTTTCATCCCAATCGTCTTTTCTCCACCGCCTGCTCACCTGATATCTATGTGTCCACCGCTAACTTCCAACATACAGTTCATTTTTTTTCTTTCCCCTCTCTCATGCTTTCCACAGTTTATCCTTTCAGATCCTTAATGTACCCACCTTTGTAAGCAACGCCTTCTTACCCTTAGCATCACCAAACAAAACTTGCGTGGATGATCCGCCGAAACGAACAGGTAAATCCCACTGACCTCACTGCATCATCTTTTCGTTTGTAGACCCCTCATACTTCAGATGCTTCGTCATGTTACTGTTCTCGATTTTTGGTGGCCATATTAACTTAATTTGTATTTCAGGTTTATGCGTTAATTTTTCTACGCCTTTTTAGTACCGGTGCAATTCTTGAGGATCAATGGTACTACCAAATCCAGTGACAGATTAAAGATTGTTGATGTTAGTGACTTTTTTATTTTATTTTATTCAGTTTGACAAAGATATGACTTTTATGATACAAATATACAAAGGGGGTTTATTCAGAAGTGTTGCTGAACACAAAGAGCAAATTCGGTATTTCAGTCAACAAGTGAGCATTTTTTTTTTCTCGATTAATACATTATGGAAAATGATATATATATATATATATATATATATATATATATATATATATATATATATATATATATATTATTTGTGTTTTGTTATTTCAAGATCTTAGGGAGCTTTTCAGTATCCCAAAATAGGTTTTTGATGTTTCTTTAACTCAACAATAGTTACATGAAGAGCATGATTGTGAACACAAAATGTTTGTGCTATGTAATTCATTCAAAATAAGGTTTTTTTAATGTGATTTGAATTATTAAATTTCTTCAAAACAATTTCTTTTGTTATAGGGATGCATCTCTTAAATATCACACAAAGTTTTTTGAGTCTCTTGGTATAGCTGGAATTAGTAACCACAATTTGCTTTTCTCAAAAACTGCTCCATTCCCTGTTATGCAAGATGAAGAATTAACAAGGTGATCTATCCTTTTTACCCTTCAAGGGCATTTAGTAAATTCACATTTTTTATTTTTTGTTTAAGTTCTCTGAATTGTTTTTTGGATTAGGCAATCAACTTACGTGGGAAACTCATCTTCTTACAACTCACGTGAACAAAACATGGATGTGTATGTATTCTTAAAATCTCAATCTTCTATTTATTTTATAAAATAAATACTATTTACCAAAATGTATCTGAAAACTGCCCCTACATTCTATTTTTATAGTTATAAATTTTTAATTATAACATTTTTGGATCAAACTGACCCCCTGCATTTTTATAGTTAAAAATTTTGATTTTAAGATTATTGGATCAAAATGCCCCTGCATATTGTTTTTAAACTTAAAAAAAAAAAATTTTTTTAACAGTTTTAGACCAAAGTGCCACTGCATACTAATTTTATAGTTTTTTTATTATTATTATTTTACCAGTTTTGGATGAAACTGCCCTTGCATAATGTTTTTAACAATTTTGGATGACACAGCTATTGCATACCGTTTTTATAGTTAATATTTTTTTGATTAACGGTTTTGAACTCAAATTTTTGTTGAATATATTTAAGTAGTAAATTGAGTAAATAGTAATATACTTTGCATTTTGTTTTTATTCCTTTGCCAACATTGGATAATAATATGCTGAAATCGTCTCTGAATTATTGAATTATAAATGTGATAGAAATCCGGTTTCATTTTTTTTACGGCAAATAGGATGCTAATAATTTTCTTTGTGTTTTTCTATATCAAATTTGAAAGTACATTCTATGTTCTGTGGACGTAATGAGATTTTTGTTATGCTAAAAAAGTTTGCTCCTAATTAATTAGATTTTTGTTATGCTAAAAAAGTTTGCTCCTAATTAATTCCTCTTTACTATACAAAACTAATAAAAATCATATCAGAGTAAAGTGGATACTTTGATTTGCATATTGTGGAAACATGTACTAGGTATAAAATGAATGATTGCTAGAAATATGTACCGGGCATAAAATCATGTGCTTAAGTGA